GTAAAATTAAGAGACTTTGTTGAATTCTAATTTATGTTTGTAGTGTTTGTAAATTCCATACATTTAATTAAGTTACTGTTAATTATCTATTGGTTTAATGTAAGTGGCTATTGTTCGGAACGAACAATACTAAGGAAGGGGCAGTGTTACTACAGGGGAAGTCACGCGACGGTTGTAACACGTCATGATATTCTCGAAGGTTCGTGAATGAGTGTTTACTGGATATGCGGAATTGAATTGCAGACAGAGATAGAGACGGACAATTGAGTCAAGCACGTGAATCAGTAGTTGTGAATTATAGCGTTTGTTTAAGTTAACTGACTGTGGGAATTAAGTGTATTGCAAGTTGTATTGAGAAAGAATAAACTAGTTTTATTTAAGGAAGGACTTGTATTGCTGAAGTTTTTTGGAAAGAATTTCTATGGAAAATTAACAAATGACCAGAGGCGTAACAATAACATGCATTACACCTCACTCAAGAAACTGTTTTTTTGTGTATGTATTAGGATAATGCCAAGTGAGTTTATGTATATTGATTATTTACTAGTCATTTCATTTCAATGACTTTTTTGTACATTTTATGAGTGCCTTTTCACCGTAATTGCTGCTTATTGAAATCAGTCAGGAATGATTTAATCAAACTAGCTTAACATGGACGTTAAAATAGATTGTAGTGAATTAATTAACTCAGAGTTTTTTTACCTGTTGTGCTTTCAGGTAGGTTGACCAGGGATTTACATACCTATAAATATCCACGCATAAATACATGTGATAACGGGTTATTTTTTTTCATAACCATCCATTACATTCTTCTAACATACGAATGTATTAAACAAATATGATTGTGTTTTGTTCTACCATGGGAAGGGGTTAACCCCTAGAACAGGCACTATGCCACAGTACTAGTTATTTATATTCAAGACTCCTTAGAGCTGCTCATAAATTAAATTGGAAACATTTTTGTTCATGTTACTTTGCAAATTATACTAAATAAATATTAAAAACTTTACAAATAATTGGAATCATTATTTTTACATAAAGTTTGAGGTTTAATATGCACATGTGCACTCAATACTTAAAAGGTTCTAGATTTTAATCATGGCGTGTTATACAAGAAACAACCATACAAATTACCTTGAATATTTTTTCCTCATTTGGGGGAATTATGGCTGGTGAATCTGCAGCAACCATTGATGTAAATTCTTCAGCAAAATTACTTACATCAAGTTCTCCACATATTCTGGGAACAAAAGGAGCAGGTACTTGTTTTTTTGAGAGTTCATCCCAGTTTAAATCCTAATAGAGAGAAAACAATATAAATAATTGTTTAACACAAAAAAAATCATTGTTGTATACAACCCAGCTTTAAACAGACTTATATTAAATAATTATTCCATGTTTAAAAAGGCAGCTTTACCTAGTTTTTTCTGGTAAAATTTGTGAATAATAATATGAAACAATTAAACTAACTCTGAAAAACCTGTGTCTTTTGAGTTCCAGAGCATCATCTGGTCCTCCTCCAAGTCGTTTCCTTGGATTTTTCATCAAAACACGGTGAATAAAATCTTTTACAGCTGAGGAACATTGTTCTGGTTGCGGTGGTTGTGAGTAAAGTATTCTTCTGCAGTTACATTAAAAAATTATTAAACTCAAATCAAATTTTCTCATTACATTAATAGATTTTAAGAATAAAAATAAAACACAAAAAATTAGCAAACCAAGTATTCAATAACTCAACAACAATGTTTTATAAATTTTCTACAATTCTTGTTTGTGAACTTCACCAAACACTGTGCCTAAAGATAAGGCATTACAAGACAATTAAAAATCTCTTTCACATAAACATAATTAGAAACTTTTTTCTCACTAAACATGATTATCTGCAGTTTTTATTAGCTATAATATGGAAGTTTGTCTATTTTATAAAGTTTGCTTAAAGGATCAGATGAAAACTTGGTGCATGAAAGACGAGAGCTTTCTGATTACATTGTAAGAAGCAAGATGCAAAACAAAATTATCTTTATTAATGAATCAGTATTATAAATTAGTGAAACAAAAATATAAACATACTTAGATATTTCCAACTGAGAATTTTGGTCTCCTTGAGGGGTGAATGGGGAATTTCCTGTCAGAAGTTCATAAAATAGCACACCAACACTCCACCAATCAACACTCTAAAATGTACATGCCAAAGTAACAAAGTTATTGCAATAGTCAAACAAAAATATTTGTTTCTTCAAGTAAAAAAACACACAAACAAACAAACTACACCTAAACTTAAGATCACTGGCAAAAGTATCATAATGAAAAAAATACCATAAAGGATCTGAAAGTTTTAGATAGAAAGTGGTGAATTTTACTTCAGGAATGACTGGGAAAATTCTCAATGTTCAGTGAACTTATGATCAAGCTAAAGTATTCAAAATTAAGTAAACCACCTTTTGATATTATTTTATACTTTATATGTAATTACAACACAATAAGAAATTACTTCCTTAATATCTTTTTTTTTTTGTACATGATTAGCTAGTTCTATCTCTGTTCAAACTATAATCACTGCTTATTTAACATAATAACCTAATACAATATCCTTCTGGTATAATGTATGCAAAAATTTGACAAAACTAAAAGAATGGCACCATAACACTCATATTTTCACATTTTACAGTTTTGATATGACTACCTTTTTTTTTCCAAGCATTTAGAAAATGATGCATAATTAATTTCAAGAAAAGAGAAGATAATATCTTTTAGGAATAACTGTGAGTTTTTGACTGTGCATGGCAACATTTCCAACTCTATGCTGAAGTCTTCTTAGGCAGCTGACATATTAAACAATATTCTTGTATCAACTTTTATGGCTTCATGAAGCTTTTATTCAGGAAAAACTCCACATTGTTTTTAGTATGAATTCCATCCACTGAAAATCACACAGAAAATTAATTAAATGTTTTGGAATAAAAAGTTTGGAATATACTTACAAAATCATGCCCATATCTTCCACCTCTCACAACCTCTGGAGCCATATATTCTATTGTTCCACAATAAGAATATGTTCTATGAATCTAAAATGAAATTTTTAACAAAAAAACTTTATAAAAAACAGTCAGTGCAAAGTAAATATATATAGTCAATACTTGTATGATTGTACTTGCTTAGAAATTTACCAGGTGATCAGGGTTCTGTTTTATAATCCCAGAAAGAACAAAGAACCAAGTTATCTCACTATCACATTCTGGAATAGTAATTTACAACAACAAAAATATCACTTGAACGAAAAAAATACAATATATTTTAAAATCTAAATCTATCAATCCATTTTGACTAATACAGAAGTTTAGTCCATAATTATATCTTTATTATATATGTGAAGTTTTTCTTTCCTTTTTGTTTGTATACTAACTAAGCTCCTAAAACTAACTAGCAAAACCAACTAGATAAAGGTTGGTCAAGAAGAGAAGAATTATTTATTATTACTCAGGATATTTAGTTCACAGTATAGAAGTTGAGTGGGAATATTATCAAATAAAAACAGCTTAACTCCTGGCCCGTTTTAATGTTTAGTTGATAAAGACATCATTTTTAATAAATTGATAATCTGCTAAAGTCAGAGAAGTTTAATTAAGAGTAATATGACAGTAACTAACACTGTTTCTGCTGTAACACCTAATGTATTTATGTAAAAATTTCACTACAGATTAACCGCAAAAATTGTACTCACATTATTATAATTCACACAAATTATAATAGTATAATTTTGATTATTTTATAAGAAATAATTATGTAAGTATCATTTTTTACACATTTTAAATTTTTTACTACAATTAATCACAAACTAAACTGATCTACTGAGTGCCCTTTATTGTTTATTTTTTTCCTGCGGTCTTCAAAAAGCACAACTCACTGTTTCATGAGGCAGAAATTCTTTACTAAGACCAAAATCAGTTAGTACTACATGTCCTTGAGCATCTAGAAGAATGTTTTCAAGCTTTATATCTCGATAGATAATGCCAAGCTAGAAACAAAAAGAATAACAACATATGTTATGGTTAACTCTAATAATACGTTTTACTATTATTCACAAAGTTAATGTCAAATAAAAGAAAGATTAACTGCTACCACATTCCTCAGTGGTAAGTCTGAGAGCTTATAATGCTAAAATGGGGTTTCAATACCTTTGATTGGCAAAGCACTGATAGTTCCTTATGTATCTTTGTCCTTAACAACAAACAAGCAAAATCTACCAACAATTTCATTCAACAATACTTTGAACTAGCAAAGACACAAATTATCTGCTACAAGTGTTTCTCTGAAGGATATATCAATTTAACAAAAAGTTAAGTGTGATTGTAATCTACTAAGTATATTTTAAGAAATCACACGTAAAATATATCAGTTACCAATGTTGTAGAAAATATTAACAGATCAGAAGATTAAATTACTTATTATCAATAACACTGAATAATATATTGGCAAAATAAAATTACTTGTTATTAACATTACTTCAAAATGCATTAACAAAACAGAAAAGTAAAGTTTCTGTTATTGATATCACTGAAAAATATATTGACAAAACAGAAAACTAAATTTCCTGCTATTAATAACACTAATGTATATATTAGCTAAATTACCTAATAGAAATATTACTCAGCAATGTAATTACAAAACAGAGAGCTAGATTATCTTAACCAGTATCCCTCAGGTATATTTCAAACTAAATACAAAGAATCATAAAGTTAAGAAGCACATTATAATATTGTTGAAAATTGATAAATTTCTGTTATTTTATGAGATAAATCTATGTCTTACTGATATTTAGCTTAATATTATCCTAACAACTTTTACATGGGTTATTCTACATGGTGACAAAACTGATCACCAAAAATATTTTGATAAACAATATACAATTTCATATACAACATATCTAAAAACATTAAACTGATTCATATTTATTACCACTAAATAAAGCTGACTGCTTAAAGAACACGTGAAGAATTTTCAAATAATATTCTTACGTGTATTGTATAAAAGTCAATAGATGACAACACATCACCATTCAAACTTTAGTCAATTAATAAAGATTATACAATAGTATGTAAAAAGTATGCATCACTTAGATGAATTTCTCAGATGTATGCAGTAAGATGTATCAATAAAAAGCAACAGAATATTTAGATTTAGTTTATGTTTTCACACTTCACACACCATAAATAACAGACATGTGTTTGTGTGTTAATTCCTTTAATAGAATGGGATAACTTCCATACTGAAATTATATCAAATGTCATTAGTAAATAACTAGAAAAAAAATTAAGAACATCGTAGGTAAAATTATTTTATCTATTTTTATCTTTAGGTATTGATACAGTAATAGTAAGCTTTACAATACATCATACTTATTTCATTGCAAAACCTAGCAAAACATTAGACTTCCGATACGGTAGTTACCCCGGCTCACAAGATTAGCTATTCTCGTTCAGTTCTATCCTCTATATATGAATTTTTCTTTATGCATGCCACAGGCCTTCCTCTCCCCCTATTGGAATTGCTATATTGCGACATGTCTCTCATGCAAATCCTCATGCATCACCTCCTAACCAATGGGAACATGATGTGATTATGTGACTCCCTCTAACTTCCTCTACCGAACTATCACTACTCTTTTTTGTGCTTAATGCTTCATGTTTTCCTCACAAAGTCGTTATTTATTGACCTAACTCTCTCAATATGGGCTCGTCCATTTGACTGCCCACATGACCTCTTTGTACTCATTTAAAGTCTTTATAGATTTAATACTTCTAACTTTCAATATTCCGTGCATATCTTCACAAAATTTGCAGTCTTTCAGTTAGTATTATAAGTCTTTCACTTATAAAAAAAGATATTTTTAGTGAAGTATTTCTAATAAAATAAAATATAGATTTTTCTTCAAATATATTGAGTATTTGTTTTGAATAGTCTGTGTGAAAAGCAATTTTCATGTTCAAATTAAAAATGCTTTTCCTCATCTCAAATTTCCTTTGTGTAATCTCTAAAACTTCCTAAATGTATTTCAAATGTTTTTCTTCAGTAAAACTTTATAGTTTATCTGTTATATTCTCTACCCTATCTCATGAAGTTGGTCAATTCAACCGACCTCGTAACCACCAAAAAAAAATCTAAATTATCCTTTTTTCCTTTCTAGAATGACTTCAAATTGTAACATGAAACTACATTCATTTATCTAAGTAGTTCTAAGTTCTTAACAGTATACATCTATTTATAATTAAATTTTATTGTTATATTGCCATTTGAACCATGTCTAACTATTGTCTGTGCAGTTTATGTTATGATAACAAATTAGCCATGAGCAACTATAAGCTATTTTTACATTTTAGTTATTTTTATAAGTAGATATAAAGAATTAACATGAAAAACAAGAAAAAAAAACTTAATCAATTTTTTTTTTTGCTGTCATTTGTGAAAGTAGACAAATTCCCTTACCTCTAAAAATCTTTCTGTCTTTCTAACTATGCGACAAGAGTCATTACAAATTCATCCAAGCTAGTCATTAACTTTCTCACAGCTACTATGAGTGAAATTGACATTTAACCATTCAGAAGTCGGTACCCGCGAGGAGGTTTGGGATTAGAGTGAACCAATGAACATAAGTCATCACACAGGTACAGGTTGACTATTCTCCACCCTCGATTTCCTCCACCTGTGTGTGGGTCACAGCAGTGGTATGTGGGATTGTTACAATTCTGTCCTTAACTATCCCTCATTCTCTTCTTATGGGAATGCTATTGCCTGTATCACAGTTGGGGAATTGATTCCATGTGATAGACATCCTTTCAATACCAGATGTCAATTTCCCAGATCGATAGCTTAGACCTAATCCTTGTGTCATACCTAGGAATCAGTGTGGGTCTTAATCCTTGGTTCTTGGGTTTGAGGTGAAGATGGTATGATCCCCATCCTACCCTCACGAGGATGTCGGTACCCCACAAGGAGGTTTTGGATATAGTTGCCTTACTGAGTACAGTCTGCTGCACCCTATCCACTCTACAACCAAGGGTGCATCCTCATTTACCTACTTTTCACTTGTGGGATTCAGTTACACTATCTTTCTCTGGTTAGGATATGTTTCCTAACATATTCTCTCCCACTTGGATGTGCTCCTTTATTTTCTGCCCTTATATCTTACACATTCTACACATGGGCGAATAGTATAACTGGTTTAGCAGTGGTGCGATTCCCCTCTTCTGATCTTTGGATCTGTATCTTTCATTTTCAAGGGTATCCTGCAGACACTTTTGGAGGGGTACTTCTGTTGTTTCCTTGCACCAGTCCCTCCTCCTTCTGAATGTGGGATTCTAGCTAATCATGTGAGAAGAGGTAAGTACTGTATCGGAAGTTATAATTTTTCTATACTGAAAATGTATTTCCAATAGTTACTTGCATAAGAGACATGTTGGAATATAGCAATTCCAATAAAGGGGGGAGCAAAAGGCTTGTGGCATGAATAAAGAAAAAGTTTGCATATAGAGAGCAGCACTGAATGAGTAAGTACCTATCGGAAATACATTTTCAGTATAGGAAAATTATAACTTTTGTTTATTCTTGTTCAAATAAATTTGTTCTTTTTTCATGTCCAAAATAATAAAAAAATTAATAACAAGTGTGGCTTTCTTTCTGATTATTCAAAGTACTTTAAACCATTCTTTACACACATATATATATATATATGTACATATATACATGTCTATGCAGTATAAATATTGAAAACAATTACACATTATATAATTTGTCTCACAGACTATCAAAACATGCACACATTGTGATATTCTAACACAAATATAAACTATGCACAAAAAATACCCACCATACATTGTACTATACACTAGAAAACACTGCAAAGTTTACATTAAGAAAACGTAATACACAGGCTATACAATGTATATTCTAGGGGACACAGGCTACACAGTGTAAGCTAAGGAACACAAAATTTATAGTGTATGCTAATGGATGCAGGCTATAAAATTTAATTGTCTATATTCAAAAACACAAAACTGCACAGTATACACTAAGGAACACACACACTACATAGCACACTTTTTTTATGGATGATGCATATAGAATATTCATTGAAAAATACACACAATTGACTAAAAGACAGAGGATACTATGTACTATGAAAATAAACTATACAATCTACTCTAACAGATAGAGGTTATACACTGTACACTAATAGTTTGATTACATTAAAAACAATACATACTAATAAACAAAACTATATATGACACTATAAAAGAGACAAATAACTATATACAATGAAACACATTCTATGTTAATACCCATATACCAAAGAGCAGAAGCAATAAAATATCCATCATAACTTCAAGATTCCATGATAAAAACCCTGTGCAATAACAACAACAAACTTTGCATATACTTAGATGAAAATACTACATATTATACACAAGGGAATACTATATACACAAAGGGATTCATTCTTTACCTTTTACACAAAGTAACACAATAAAAATACACATACACACACAAAGGGACATATCCTAAATACCATACACACAGTTACACTTCACTGTATACTCCAAGGCTCATATGGTACACCGATGAATGTACAGGGTGGTTATAAAATAATTAGTTATCCCAAATGAAACAATTCCAAATACGTATATTGACTTTTTAACCACCTTAAACACTATTAAGAAAAAAGCATAAACTGTTTATATAATAAACAGTAATTCTGTTGTACATTATATGAACAAAACATTAAACACTATGAAATAAAGAACAAAAATGTTTAAATAATAAATGGTAATTCTGTTACCACATACACTTACTCGATGAAGGTGTTCTAAAGCTAAAATAATCTCCCCGATGTAAAACCTGACTTCCTTTTCTGTAAAACGCTGCCTTTGATACAAGTGTGTGAACAAATCACCCCCACTTACATAATCTACAATCCATGAAAATAAATAAAAAAAACATTTGAAAATAATACTCATTTAACAAAATTAGTCTTCACAATTTAAAAATAAACATTTACAAATAATTAATACATTGCTTAGCTTAAATAAATTTTCAATTTAAAGAGGCACATAATACATGGTGTAAAACATCAAAATTCTTGAAAAAAAAGGATACTGTGTACCACACAATTCTATAAATCTATACCATATTCTACCAGACAAGGTTTTAAACTTGATCTTCAAATGACTTATTTTTATATTTGAAACATATTGTTGCATCAGCGAGATCACGTGACTAGTATCACGCCACCTATTTCTAGAAATATCCTGTTCCTTCATGAATGCTCTAGCATTTACTAGATATGTGTTAGTCTTGTATATATAAGACGGTCACAACGTGACGGAACAGAGAGTGTGTAATTGAACTCAGTAATGTTGAGTCAAGCACGTGAGATGTTTGTTGAGAAATATAGCATTTGTTGTAGCGCGACTGTTGAAATTAAGTGCATCGCAAAGTTATATTCAGAAAGAATAAACCAGTTTTATTTAAGAAAGGACTTGTGTCGCTAAAGTTTCGTCGAAACGAATTTACGGAAAATTAACTAACAAACGGAGGGTAACAAATTGGTGTCAGAGAGTGGGACAGAAAAAAAATAAAAAAAAGAAGAAGAAGAAGAAGAA